AAATCTCTTGGTTTTTTATATACATTAGATTTCATTCTAAATGGGATCATATAGGTATTAGATAATAGTACCTATAAAATAAATTGGATGTATAGCTAAAAACCTAGCTATAAAGAAATTTCTAGGAGTCAACAGGTGGTGTGGTTGTTAAGGTGCTAGATTCCTACATGGCTGACCATGGTTCCAGGTTTGGACATGGTGGCTTGCAAATCACCCTGGGTGCATGTGTATGTGCTCAAATCCCAAGTGGAGAAGGGACTGTGGTATGACTATCTCCTTACGGAGTGAGTTTTCATTTTTCCTCTTTCTGTCTCTCTCTCACGAGTGCATGCATCCTATGACAAAAACATTAAAAAAAAAGAAATTCATAGGAGCAGATAATCTCACTATTAATTTCTACCAAACATGTAAGGAATAAATAATACTAGTACTACATAAAATTTCCAAAAGTGTTTAAGAGGAAGAAGCACTTCTCTGTTTATTGTATAAGGCCAACATTACCTGGATACAAAAATCAAAGGAATTAGAGAAAATAGAAATGGAAATTCTACATGTAACCATTCTACATGGAAATTCTACATGTAACCATGTAGAGTTTGTAATATTTGTAAATAAATAAAAAATGGTAACTATAAATAGACCAAATAAGAAAAGAATTTGAACATCTCCGTACATGCAAAAAAGACTTTTAAGAAAATTCAATAACCTGGGCATGGATGGTGGCATAGTAGGAAAAAAAACCAAAAACACTCTGTGAGACTGACCCTCGTAGAAAGGTTCTGTGTTCATATCCAGAGAATTCCCTGAGCCTGTAAGGCATGGACATGTCTCAGATCTCTGGCTGCCTTAGGCTAAGTGGGTTCAAGACCTTGTTGAGGTGCTCTCTCTATCTCTGTCACTTTCATTCATGGATGAAAGAAATGAAGTTTTAAAAAATAATAAAATTTAACATCCATTTTAGACAACTAGGAAGAAAATTTCTTCAATTTAAGCAAAAGTAACCACAAAATCAACCTGCAAATATGGAACAAGGCAAAAGGAACAAGGCAAGAATGACTGTTTACATCATTTCAATTTAACATTGTATTGGAGGCCACAAATGTGGCAAATATTATGTCAGAAAAACAAATTGGAAAGAAAAGAAAATTTTCTCTAAAATAGACATAGTCATTGACATAAAAAATATCAATAATTACAAAAATGGTACAACGACGAGTAAGTGAGTTTAGCAAAATGGCTGAACACAAGGTCAATATACAAAGACACTGGACTCCCACATGACTGACTGCGGTTTGAACCCAGAATCCTGCAGCTTGAAAATCATGCTGGGTGTGTTTGCATGCATTCCCAAAGTCCCCAGAATTTTTGTATTTTATTTTTTAAGAAATAGAGTTTTGCTATAGGGCATGTGTGCTTGCCGGAGAGACAGAAAGCAAGAAATCAGCTCCCCAGGGGGAATGTTCTCACCACAATGCCCTCTCCTCTTGGGACTTTGGACATACATGCAACACATGCCTGATGTGAGTTTAAGCTGAGGAGTGGGGACTCGAACTGCAGCTGACTATGAGGAAGTCTAGTGATGTAATCTCTATGCTATCTGTTGGTCCCTCTTCATTTTTATGAAAGATTTTTTGCCATAGGTTGTGGCAAAAAATTGTGAACTTGTCCAAGGGAGAAAGAGAGAGACAGAGATAGAGAAAGTGAGAAATTACTCCCCTCAGGGAGGATGGCCACACTGCAGTCCTTGTCCTTTAGTCTCCTCCTGTGATTTTGGGCATTCAGGCACAGACAACCAAGCGTGATTTTTTAAGGCACTGGGTCCAGATCTCAAACCATGGTCAACCATGTGGAAGTTCCTCGCCTTAACCATCACACCACCTGGTGAGTTCAAGAATCTCCACATTTTAAAATATGAATAAAACACACACATTTTAGAGAAATTGTGTCGGTGAAGTTCATCTATCAGAAAGTAGGAATTCCTAACAATTCCATATTTGTGGAATGAGCTGATGTATTATTCCTTTCAAAACATTTCTATGGGAGGTAATTTCCAGTTTTCTGCTAGTGATCTTGTGGTTGGCTATCCAAAACACTGCATTAGATGTTTTCTGAGGTTTTTCCCAGTTCGTGGGGAAAGCTGGGAACAATGAACTAGATATATGTATTATGAGTGACATGTAATATGTGGATTTTTCCTTGATTTGATTCTCTAAAAAAATATAATTCAAATTCTATAGTCTAAAGTAAAATTAATCCTAATTATTTGTCTGCCTTTATAGCATAGCTACAGATTCTCAGGCATTCCAGGGAAAATAATTACCATGTTGTATGTGCCATTTTTCAGTTTATGGTAGCATACATTCCACCCATCTCGTGGTCTTTCTGAAGGTGCTAGCCTATCTCATTTTGCTGCTTTGTGAAATTCCTTTTCATCCAAAGTCTGTTATGTGTCTTTAGGCAGGAGCCTTGGTTTCGGTTCTTGTATTTGTATCTACTACATCTGTTTCTGACTTCTAGAAGTAGCACAAAGTCTAATTGTCTAACTAGGCAATTCCTACTCTCTCCTTCCATCCTTTCTCCCCTTCCCACATGGTCATTGCTTCTATTTTTGTTAACTCTTTCTAACATTTTTTGATGACTTTGATTTTTGAAGAAACTCTGCATTATCACTGTGCAAATCAAGTTTTTGTCTTCTCTTCTGTTGCATTCTGGTGTCCAGCAACACATGAAACTAGCATATGAATTCATATAACTTTCAACCCCAAGGGCCTATTTGATAAACATGATTTAACCACCATCTGTATCAAACTCTGAAGTGCAAATGACAAAGTCTTAAGTACATCACAACCCAAGAAAGACTATGAGCACTTGAGCACTAATCTGAAGAGTAGCTTAGATCTGTTCTGATTACATGAGGTGTAAAATATCACTTACGATTCAATTTCATCATTGGTGTTTATAATTGTTTTTCCTATTACCTAACCAATTCAATGTGGGGGTATTTTGCTTCACGCTGTTTTAAATTTTTTACATAATTTGTATATTAATAACTGAAAGTTTAAAAAAATTCTATTTTCTTTAAAATTAAAGCAATGTATTTTAAGAAGACTTCTTTAATTTCTGTACATAATATCCTTATGCTTATAATTGAATGCCTGTGTTATTGTGCTATTTTCTAAATTTACCTTCTAAACAGCTTATGAACACAGTGTTCACCTATTGTTTGAGATTCATCAAAGGAACCAGAACTAGAACAGGAGAAAGAATGGGACAAAAGAAATAAAAAAAAATTATTCAAGGCAAAGGCCAGCTCGTGGCAGCAGATGGAAGATCTGGATGTGAAACAGAAGTCATGGAAATGCAAACTCACAGAAAATTTTTGATTGCAGAAACCAAAGGCATTGCTTACAATATTTCTGTAAATAAAAGAAAATATAAAGGGAGACTAATAAAAATTCGACTGAAACATACAGTTTCAGTTCAAAGATGTGGCAAGTCGAAAAGAATGTTTGCTCTCACTCTTAAAAAAAAGAGTTACAAACTTATTATTTATCTTAACTCATAACAGAATTAAAGTTTTTGGGAAAACAATCTGAAATTTAAGATTAAGTCCATCTTACTGTATGAATAAATAGTTCTTAGCTGCTCATTGCTGACCAGTTTGCTATTATCTGGCTATGCCAGGTGTTGAGAGACACTTGGGTTGCTTTCAGTTTGGGGAAATTATGAACAAAATTGCTACAAAACTTGACATACAAAATTTACTATCAGTTTATCTATATCGATTCACTGAAATTTTAATCTGGATTTATCCAATATATAGTCTAATTGTGGATAGTACATTCATAACTAGAATTTCAATTTAACTTTGAATATTGAATATATAATCTAATTGTAGATAATTTATGACTTAATAATGAGTGTTCTAATTTATGAATATGGTATATCTCTCTATTTATTCAGATCTTCTTTGACTTCTTTCATTAATATTTGAAATTTTCAGAATATTTTGTATATATTTTGTTAGATTTATAGCCAAGTATTCATTTTTTTAAAAAATAATTATTTATTTTATTTTTTTATTTACTCATTCGTTTATTTCTTAATTTGACCAGTGAGAGACAGAGGGTGATAGTGAGAGAGAAAGGAAGTGAGAAAGCAAGTCACCAGATTCAGGACTCGAACTCTGGTCGGCCATGTAGGAGTGTCCAGCGCCTTAACCACCATGCCACCTGCTGGTCCCTTCAGGTATTCATTTTTTGATGCTATTGTAAATTATCATCTATCTATCCAATTACATATATTTCTGTATTTTAGTTTCAGTGTTTGTTTATTGCTCTTATGTAGGAGCTTTATTGAACTTTGTATATTGACCTTATATACTATGACCTTGCTATAGTTAAAGTGATGATCTAGGAGATATGGGTAGATCTTATGAGATTTTTCGCATAGATAATTATATTTTCACATCTGTGAATCCCTTTTAAGACCTACTATATTGGATTTGGTTCTGCACAGTGAGTCATTCTAGAATTATTCTAATCTAATTTCCATATAATTATTCTTTATATACCTGAAGTTCTCTCCTTTACATTCCCTCTGAGTCTTTTAGTAGCCCACATATATGCTTCTCTTTAAACTCATAAATTCAGACTAGAGAAAAAATTACTTGCTCTACTCTATATAACCCCATTATTTTAACACGTATTTCTCCGAAAAGGTAGTCGTCCGTTTATGGGCAGATCCCGGATATTGACCATGTCAGAGTCAAATTGGACTCTCTCAGTAGAGCTGCAATAATAATAATAGACTGCAATAGCTCATGTAATTCTCACAGTGACCATAGGAATAGATCTTTCCATAACGCTTTGTAGGAAAAGAGACTTAGCCTTTAGAAAGGTATAAAATTTCTTACGGTTTCTCAGATATATGTAGTACGACTGACTTTTATACCTAGAACTCTTATATCAAATCCTTTGCTCTTAAACACTATACTAGCTTGAACCAATAGTGTAACTCAGTCTATAAATTTTATTAGATGAAATGAGAACTGTTTACAATGTGATTTATATAAACAATTCAGTGATGAACATAAAGAATAAATATATAAATAAAATAATGATTTTATGTTTTCAATTACTTATCTATATATTTTATTTCTATTCTAACATTTTATACATATGAATTTGGTCAGTTTTTCAATCTTTTTTTAAAAGAATTATTGATATAATTTTATTTATTCATTCATTTATTTTAATTTGACCAGAGAGAGAGACACAGAGAGAGAAAATGAGAGAGTGAGAAAGCAAGACACCAGGTCCAGGATTTGAACCGTGGTTAGTCACATGGGAGTGTCCAGTGCCTTAATCACAATACCACCTGCTGGTCCCCCAGTTTCTCAATCTTAAAGATAATAATGAGACACAAGGAAAAACTTGTATTTAGTTATTGCTTTTTATGAAATACTAACTCCTAACTGTTAGTTCCTACAGATGTTTTACAAATTTTATCTTTAAAACGTTTTTGTATCCCAGTGAGGTTTTAAATTTCACACAGTAAGATAAAGCAATTATTAAAGCAATATCCAAATAATGCAAGAAATACAATTTTCAAAAAATTAAAACCAATTGGAATAATGACTTTTATATTAGGATAGTTCATAGCTTCTAGAAATAAAGGGCTGAGAGTACAATTATTAATTAACTTAGATACCCAGAGAGAAATATTTATGCAAACTACTTCCAGGGTTAAAGCTTTTAACAACTGCATATTGAACAAAAGTTTATTTAGTTATGATAGGCTAGTAAAGGCACAATAAAGATTTATGAGTAGGTCAATATATACCTGAGCAATTTTCCCTGATCATTACTTTGACAGCCTCACTCAACTCTGGTACAACAAAGCAAACAGAACAGGCTATGAAATAAGGTGAGTCTTCAAATACTTTTTTATACTACTTTCATGTTTTCCCTTAATTCAGTTTAGCAATAGTCCCCTCTACCTGCACTTGTTTAAAACAATGAAACAACATATTTTAAGCTGTCATTTTAAAATCACATCTATCAAAACAAAAGAAAGAATTCTAATTGTTTTTAAGATATGAGATTTTTTTTTGTCTAGTTCTTCTTTATAATTTCATCAGATTTAGGTGGGATTATGTCAAGTTTTTCTTAATCGCTCTGCATAGAAGAGAATAAAGATTGTACAGTAGAAGAATATTCTATTTAAGTGTGATTAAATATACTGTATTTAAGACATCTATATAGACAGGAGGATGTTACATTTATAAAACACTTTATGTAGTCTAACATTTTCTTTGCATACCAGTCATCACACCACCATCTAGTAAAGAATATTTCTTTTGATAATAAATATACAGAGAAAAGCTATCAAAATACAGATTCAGAAAAGAAGTTTTGCTGAAAATTATTGCATTTCAAAATATGATCACTATAACTACCCCGTACAGTAGATGAACAATTTTAATACTGATTTTTATGAGTATTCATGTGAGTAATTTAATTTTGGTACATTAATTTTGTCCTTATTTTTCTAGATTAAGCAGAATTTGCTTCATGACAACATGCATTTATCTTTTCCTTATATTTTTCTTAAGGAAACGGAAAACACAATCCTTGTTATTGGCTTCTTGATACCAAAGTAGACTATGATTTTAAATGAAACTTACACTTATCCATACAGTAAATGTGAGCCTGTCATTTCTTATACAACATCAAAGAACGAGGTTTCATTTTCTAAACACCTGTCTCACTTGTTATACTGATTACATTATATCACATTTAGTTTCTATGAAGATTACTGATGCAATAGCTTACATATTGACAAGAAGAAATTATATGCTAAAATTTCATGCAAATCTTTAAACATTTATTTATAAGATGTAGTTAAAAATTAAGCCTGAGTTTACTCAGTATCAGTCTCGGAACTATTTTCAAGATTCTTGTTACTAAGAATGGAGCCTCTAATGGAGAAAGTTGACATACGCATTAGTAATTGCAGTACATTTTCTGCGTGCTATGATAAAAATGGAGAACAAACAGACTAATTTTTCCTCCGAGCATACTCAAAGAGTCCAGGGCATTTGAACTGAGAATAAATTGGAACTCACCTAGGAGAGTCAATGGGGAAAAGATGAAGGAAGATCGAGTAACATACAGGCAGGCTGTCCAAAAAAAGATGCTTCAGTGTTGGGGATGGGATGAGGATGTGATTCTGAAAATATTCTGGAGGTGAAATCAGCAGAAATTATTGAATGACTGATGTGGTAGAAAAATATGGGAGATGAGAAAGAGGATTTTAGGGTGAGGAAACTGGGTACACAAACCAACATAGTCATGGAGAAGGGACTATTGAGAGACAAAAACAAACAAACAAAAAGAGATTTTTATAGGTCATCCCATGCCCTGGTGGTTAAGGTGGCTGTGTCCTCCATGACCAACTGTGCAGCTTGAGACTGGGACCCAGTGGCTTGAGAAACACACCAAGTTATGCGTGTACAAGAGAGGGACTGTGGCATCATGACCTTGGCCCATGAAGGGTATTGCCTTCCTTTCCTTCTCTCTCCGTCTCTCTTCAGTGACTGTATGTACTCTCTGGACATCTCTCTTCAGTGACTGTATGTACTCTCTGGCAAATACATATATAGTTTTAAATTTGAAAACGATTTTAAAACCATTTAGTAAACCCCATTTAGTAAAGCATTTACCATGGGAATGCTAAATTCTAACTTTTAATGCCTTTGAATTGAGATTTATATAAAAATCATGGAATACAGAAGACCCATGGAAATTTGAAAACTGAAATAAAAATGAGACATATGTGGTAAAAATTAAATTAAATATGCTAAACAAATTTTTGAAGAAAAATTATTTCCAATCTACATTTAAGTACTCTCTATATTAATTCAAATGCATAGTATTACTTAAATACATGTACGTGTGTGTGTGTGCATATATATATAAAATGGGTATATTTTATTTGCTATTTTATGGAGGACTTTAGAGCAATATAGTTGAAATTTTTTCTTAAACACAGTGACTCCCAAATATATATTGTCTTCCTACATATATACATACACACACACACACACACACACACACACACTTACATACTTTCTTTACAATATTGGTATATAAAATTAATGTTGGAAAGGGGAACACGAGCATTAGAATAAAAATAACTCAATTTTTTGACTTATATTTAGCTTTCTCTCTAAGCTGGACTTTTCTTTCACAGAATTGTGAGAACTAAGGAATAGTACAAGTAGAGACTTCTTTCACCTGAAAAATGCTCTATAATGAGAGGGCAAGACATACATGCTTGGAGATATATTTCCCTTTGCATTTTCATCTTAGGGAACTATACTGTGTATCACTAATGAAATCCGTTGGCTTAACCTTGTGTGTGTTGCTTACATTTTTGTCAATCTACACTACTTTAAGTCATAAACTGACAGTGCTCGCTTCTGTTGTTTTCATTATACTTAATAAAAACCAATGTTTACGGGACCAGCAGTTGGCATAATGGTTATGTCTCTGGACTCCCAGGTAGTTGACAGTGGTTTGGGTCCCAGACCCAGTGGCCTAAACTCACACCAGGTGCATGTGCATGTGTGCCCAAGATCCCGAGAGGAGAATGGAGGAGAAGGGACTGTGGCGTGGCCATCAACACTGGGGGGGGGTTTCTCACTTTCAGTCTTTCTGTCTCTCTCTGTCTTTCTGCTGAGCACACGTGCCCTATAGCAAAAACCTCTAAAAAAAAATGATGTATATAATTTCATAACTGATTGTAATTTATTAAAGTTATTTATTTTGCATTTGAAATACATATTTTTTTATCTTTAGATGGCACGGAAGAAATTTAGTGGATTAGAAGTCACTCTGATTGTCCTGTTTGCCATAGTTACTATAATAGCTATTGCCCTTGTTGTTGTTTTAGCAACTAAAACACCTGCTACTGAAGGTAAGTAATGTTAATAATAATCTTTGGGGTAAAAGAAAAATCATATTCTATAATTTTTGTCTTATAAAAAAAGTACAGAAATATAAATTTTAAAAAATGATAAAATATTTTTTATAATGAGGTTAAGAGAAAGTTATTCCACAATAGTTACTTTTTTTTTCTTAGAGAAATTTTTGCTATAGGGAACATGTACTCATCAGAGAGACAGAGAGACAGAAAGCGAGAAATCACACCAGGGGCGAGGGCCATGCTGCAATCTCTTCTCCTCCATTCTCCTCTCAAGATTTTGGGTAAGTATGCACATACACCTAGTGTGAATTTTAAGCTGCTAGGCCCAGAATTTGAACTGCTATTGACTACATGGGACTCCAGTGATGTAACCATTATGCCATCTGCTGATCTCTAGTTACTGGTTTTAAAACTAATCTGTGTGAAGGCCAGCAGTTGGCATGGTGGTTAGGGTTCTGGGATACCACATGACCGACCACCCTTCAAGTTCCAGACCCAGTGGCTTAACAATGACAAATAGAGAGAAAAATAAATAAATGTTTAAAAGTCAGAATAATCATCTTTGTGAAATGAATCACACCAAGAGACCTAAGGAAAGTTATACAATTACTTCTACTTTCTCAGCTCATTATCCTGCAGTTAGTACAGTGAAGAGCTTTTGTAATGAAAGAATCCACGTACTTTGATATTAATTGAAGTTCTAATTACGGTGCTTGGAAAAAAGCAAAGATGCAAAAGGATCCGGGGGTTAATGTATCAGAACAACCACTGATTGTTGATAGTCTTACTGGTTTTCTCATCAGTGGGAAAACAGGGTTTTTTGTTCTAGCCTTTGGACCCTTGCAAAGGTGGTGGGATATTGGGCAAATATTCTCTTTGTCTTGACTCACTTTTTGTTGAGAGAGAGGCTGCATGAGAAAGGCAGGTAGAGAAAAGTAAAAGTAAAACAAGACTTGAGGTGTCTTATTTTTTTCTGGATATTTCTATCCTAAGAGTTGGTTCATGCTACTTTGGACCATCAAATCTACTTTCCTTTCATCAGTATCTCTTGTCTAAAGAAATAAGAACTGTAAAAGATGTTACACATTAAATCTCTCTTGACCAAATAAATAAGAACTGTAAAAGATGTTACACATTAACTTCTAATCTAACTATAGTGAGAATTTATTGTTGCTGTTAGTCTTTTTCTTATTTCAGAAACTAAAGCTCACTATAGCATGAAGTAATCAATTTTATCTTACCTATATCTGATTGCTACAATGCTTATTTTTAAAAATTATTATTTTATTATTATTATCATTATTTAAATTTGCTAGAAGACGTGTGCTCATGTGCGCACATGAGAGAGAGAGAGAGAGAGAGAGAGAAAGTGAGAAAGCAAGCTACCAGGTGCAGGACTCGAACCACAGTCAGCCATGTGGGAGTCCAGTGCCCCAACCATCTCGTCACTTGCTGGCCCCAATGTTTTCTTTAAATAGACTTGGGACCTAAATTTATTTGCTATTCTCAACTTTTTCAAATAATTTCCTTGCAAGTATCTTTTTCTTCCTGTTTTTCTCTTCTCTAACTTCTTGTGTCCTGGTCTTTACCTTTCCCAGTTCTAAGATTCTCCATCTTCTTTCTTTATCTGTAATTGTAAATATGATGTGAATGTACATTTTGTTTGCTTTAGAATTTATACCAACACTTGTTGCAAATGTATTTTGTCTTCTTGAAGAAATAGTCAATAGGGTTCTACATAGTCAATTTTAAATTATTTGGATCTTTTTCTTCTAATACATGAGGCTTGAATCTATAGGTCCTTTTAAAAACAGATTTTATCATTTATTCATTTTCATTAAATATAAGTTCATATATTCTTTCATAAAGCACTTGTTACTTTAAAAATCCAAAGCATCTCATATTATGCTTTATTTCATTGTGTTATTTTCTGCCCAAACATCTTCCCTACTTCAAATCCAGCTACTACTACAGATCCTTCAAGCTCAGGAAGATGTCCAAATGAAATAAATGATCCCATCAATGAGAGAATAAACTGCATCCCAGAACAATTTCCAACACAGGTATGCAACAAAATTCTCAATATTGTTTATAAATATATACATTGCTATATTAAGATAATTGCCCAATGTGTATCAATTTTATATTACTAAAGATCTACATAAATTAGGTTGAATTTATCTTTTTATTGTAGTTCTGAATAAAGAGATGATAGATAAGTCATTGAGACGGCTTATCTGTACCTCTATTTAATTCAAATTAACAAGGTAACATTCATCCATGATGAACAAGCTATACTTTATTTTATAAAATTTCATAACATTTTATCCTCTCAAATATACTTTTTTTTTGAAAGTTTTTTTCTTTTTGCTATAGGGTGCGTGTGCTCACCAGACAGACAGAGAGAAACAGAGAGGCAGAAAGTGAGAAATCACCCCTCAGGGGGGATGGCCACGCCACAATCTCTTCTCCTCCATTCTCCTCTCAGGATCTTGGGCATGCATGCACACGCACCCGGCGTGAGTTTTAAGCCACCGGGTCTGAGACGCCAACCGCAATTGACTACGTGGGAGTCCAACTACATAGACATTAGGCTAATTGCTGGTCCCCCAAATATACTTCTTAAAAAATTATTATACCTTTTGCAGCCAGCAGGTGGCATAATGGTTAAGTTGCAGGACTCCCACATGGTCAATTGTGGCTAGAGCCCCAGACCTGGTGGCTTGAAACTCATGCTGGGTATGTGTGCATGTGTGTCACAATCTTGGGAGCAGAATGGAGGAAACGAGATTGCGGCATGGCCATCTCCCTCAGAGGGTGATTTCTAACTTTCTCTCTCTTTGCCTCTCTCTATATCTCTGGCTAGCACAAGCTCCTTGCAGCAAAAATCTCTCTAAAAAATTATAACAGTTTATAATATAGAATATTTGAGAGACTTATCTATGCTCCATTATAGCATTTGTAATAGTGTCATTAAAAAGTTATCTGTGGAAAATAAAATAATGCTCATTATTAAACATTATTAATTTTTAATTATTTGGCTATTAGAAGAGGAATAAATAGAGAAAATTAACCTCATTGGGTTTATGTTACCCTAAAATGACTCTTCCTTTTTCACTATAAATCTATGTATAAATAAAGGTCAGTGAGTGTTTGTAGGTATATACCCGCATTTTTCTAATACTGTAATATACGTATCTAAACCTTGTATCTCCAACTCTGCATCACCACCACACATAAAATATCTGTTACAAATGAACCCTAAAATTTTCATTAGCCCTACTCTACCTTTGTTACAGTGTAATTTACACAAAATTTTCTGATGAATTTGCCAAAGAAACATTACCAATAATAGAGCCTGTCCTTAGGACTGCATTAAGAATAGCAGGTCCTATGGCAGAGAACAGAGCTGGGTGACATGGTATTTATTGTGATACACTTATGAGAGGGCCAGATATCTTCCTTAGTTTATAATCTCTAAGAAATTACTGAAGTTTAAGATGAATTCTATTAGAAACAATGAAGGGCTGCCAGAGTTTGTGTAAGAAACATTTAAAACCCAATGTTTAGGGTTTCGATGCCTACCTTAGTGTTTAATATCAACCTAACCTATTAGAGGGCTGAAGAATGTTTACGATATGAAACAATAACACTTATGAATTAAACTGGATCAAAAGTATTTGTGTATGTCATTTAAGAAAAGAAAGTAATGTTCACTTTTTGAGTCTTAGTGTATCTCAAATGAGTTTAAGTGTTTTGACTTTTTAATGAGGGAAAGTGAAATTTATTCAAATAATTTTAAAGAGATGATCAGTTTAAATGGAAAATTAGAGTTTTGCAAGGCTAAATAAATTAAATGAGAGTCAGGGTCACTCTGCTAGTTAATAGGCAAAGCTGGAATTGGAGCTATGGTAAATTTGAAGTTCAATGTGTTTATTTTTCTACAACTCATAGTCACTATTCATTAACTATAATCTTATCATTTTCTCTAAGTGGATAATATCACAAGGTAGTATTCATCTAGATAATGATTAAAAAATAATAAATGAATAAAAAAAAAATTCTACCTAAAATTATTAAAAGAAACGGTACTGTTTTCCCTCTCTTTGGGAAATGTTTCAAATTATGAAGAAGATACTTATTCAAATTTTGCCACTCAAGAGTTTTACAATTTTGATCTTTGTACTTACTTAATAGTATTATTAATAATGTTAGTAATATTTTCTTATTAAATTCACTGAAGATTCTTTAAAATTCTTCATATGTTAATTTTACATCATCTCAAATTTCACCTAGAACAACCATCTAAAATATTTATACTTACATTTCTTTTTAAAAATTGTTTATTATTTAATCATATTTACCATCATTATTATTATTTTTTAAAATTTGCTATGAGGTGTGTTCACTCACCAGAGAGACAGACACAAAGAAGAGAGGGAGAGTGAGAAAGCAAGCCTCGAGGTCTAGGACTTGAACTGTGGTCAACCATGTGGGAGTCCAACCCCTTAATCACCATGCCACTTATTGGTCCCAATATATACTTACATTTCTAAATCTGAGAAGCATGCCGTCTATTATTTGATTTAAATAAGGTTGTTAAAATTAAATTTGGTCATAATAATTTTTTAAAAATTTTCTTAGTGAAAAAAACATTTCTGTTGGGTATTCATGTATATGAAGGAGATTTATTATGGCCAAACATTTGACAATAAATATTTTTTGTATTAAATTTATTTCATGAATAATTTTAATTTAAAAATACATGCATACTTATACAATGATGAAAAAATATTGAATAGGCAATGGTAATGTGAAAAACAGCCATAATTGCACCTAGAATATGTTTGTCAGTTCAGGCTGTCATAACAAATTATCGTAAACTGAATTGCTTAAACATGACTTTTATTTACCCACAGTTCTAGAGGCCAGAAGTTCAAGATCAAGATGCTATTAGGGTCGGTTCCTGGTGTGACCTCTCCTAACTAATAGATAACTGCCTTCTTTCTGTGTTCTCACAAAACATTTTCTCTGTGCACACAGAAAGATGGAGAGAAATCTCTGATGTCTCATCTTTTCTTCTTTCTTTTGAAATTATTTAATTTAATTCATTATTATTATTCTTTTTAATTTGACCAGAGAGAGAGAAAGAGAAAGTAAGAAAGCAAGCTGCCAGGTTCAGGACTCAAACCATGGTAGCCATATGGGAGTCTAGCCCCTTAACCACCACACCACCTTCTGGGCCTCATCTTCTTTTTTAAAATTATTTATTTTGGGATCACTAGATGGCATAATGAATGTGTCACTGGACTGCCACAAGGCAGACCATGGTTTGAGTCCCAGACCCAGAAGCTTGAAACACATGCTGGGTGTGTGTGCGTGTGTGTCCAAAATCCTGAGAGGAGAATACAAGAGAAGGGATTGTGGTGAGGCCAACACCCTGGAGGGTAATTTCTTAATTTCTGTGTCTCTGTCTCTCCGGCAAATACATGCAACATATACCAAAAGTCTCTCTTAAAAAATTTATTATTTCTAGAGAAAGAGAAGAAGAGAGAGAGAGACTGAGAGAGACAGATAACCTGTCTATGTAGATACTCATACACATATATAATAAATGTAACAAGCTTGAATTTTACCTATTATAATTTAGCAAAATAATACTAATTATAGTTTCCGGTTAACATATATTCAATGTATATCTTAATATATTTTACTTTTTTGCCTTTTCAACTTAAAAGAAAAGACATATGAAATTAATGAGGAATGAAAAGTAATGGGGAAAATAGCTAAAAATCTGAAAAAAAGGAAAAAACTATTCATAAATAAGTCTCAAAATATTCACAAAATAAACTAAAATTAATTTTTTAAAGTAACAGTAGAGATGACCATTCTTAAGCAAATATGTTTTGTTGTATATATAGTAGTTTTGATAATGTCCTCCAAAAATCTATGCTAACTTGGAGCTGCAGAATACAACCTTGGAAATGCAATGAATTAAGATGAAGTCATACTGGATTAAGGTGGACCCTATGAATGTATGTGTATCTGTGTGTGTATGTGTGTGTGTGTGTATGTATGTAATGCCATTTTAATTTGATGTAAAAATAGGAGAGAAGGGGGCCAGGAGACAGTGTAGTGGTTACATTGCTGGACTCCTGCAAGGTAAAGTGCAGTTCAGGTCCTGAACTTGGTAGCTTGGAAATCATGCTGGGTGTGTCTGTATGCACGCCCAAATCCCAGGAGGAGAATAAAGGAGAAGGGATTGCAGCTTGGCTATCCCTCGCGAAAGGGATGATTTCTCACTTTCCCTCTCTTGAGCTCTGTCTCTCCCTGGCAAGCACACTCATCCTAAGGAAAACACCTTAAAATTAAAAAAAAAAAATAGTAGAGAAGTTAAGGCGTACTCTTAGCAGGCTAAAGATGGAAAGTTCTAATATATTTTCATGGCAAATAGACCAAGAAAAAAACATCCTATATGTATTCAAATTAAGCAAGAGTGTCACACTATTAAATTTAAATTTTAAGTATATTTTTAATTATACCATTGGTAATGCATAGCATCACCATTTTGTTCAAATTTTGAATAAATAATAACTTTTCTTCCTCACATAATCATCCCATATAGATGATAAAATTACTAAGACACCAGTTCTTTGCTATGTTTATTAAATGCAATTGCAATAACTAATTGTAATACTTGCCACAGTTTATAGTTAAAATAAAATAGTTAAATGCTAAACTAATATGCCAGCAATAACTATCTTAAATATTTTATGTGAGCTTGAACTCAGGTCACTAGTTCATTGATGGCTTCGCTTGCAGCTTGATTCATAATTAGGTCAAAATAAATACTTTCGTTCTTCTCCATTAACACCAGAAAAACATAAATTATATATATCAATATATTATAATCACCAAGTGGTCAGCAACCTTTCATACAGAAGAGCTTACCAAAAAATCTGTATTAATACATAACTTGGATAAATCACAACTCAGAGCATAAATTTTGGCCAGAGTATAATTCAGTCATCAAATTTATATTTCTTTCAAACAAAAAGAACAAAGGAGGTGTGGTGTAATCTGCTGAAGATATTTTGGTCAACTGGACTGGGGAGAAATGTTCACATATTGAAATGTTTGCTTCATAAGCTAAACAATGTCATTGAATATATATAAAAAATAAATTTATTGAAAAAATACTAACCTACCTGATCACACTACTAATCGTATTATTCCCTCTTAAAAAATATTTTATCAGGCACTTTGTGCACAGCGAGGCTGCTGCTGGAGGCCATGGAATAGCTCTGTCATTCCCTGGTGCTTCTTTGTAAACAACCATGGCTACAACGCTGAGGGGCTGAGGACAACGAATACTGGTGAGAAGTGCTCTGTCATGCGGAATCAAGATGCTAAGTTCGAAGTACAAACAAAAAAGAGTTAAATTTTTTCCCTGGAAAAATACCTCAAGTTGAATTCAAATGAGAAATGCGCAGAAATGTGTTCAAATTGGATATACTGGAGATGATATTTTTCACATGATTTGAAAAAACACTCGTTGGCAACAAATGTCATAACATTATAAATATCTGAAAATAATAATTATTATCCTTATACATCAAGTCTCTCATTCTAGCTTTTTTCCCTTCTTTAAGGACTTGAAGCCAATTTAAACAGGATATCTTCACCTACTCTGTTTGGAAATGACATTAACCGTGTTCTCTTCACAACTCAGAATCAGACACCAAATCGGTTCCGGTTCAAGGTTTGGTTTTTGAGATTTCTGAAGATTTGATAGTTGAAAGACTAAAAGGCATTTTATGAACATGCTTTTTGGTTTACCAATGTATTTTCCCTTCTGAGAAGTGTTTATTCCAAACTAAAGGCTGAATTCACTTCTTGAGCTTGTTTACTCAAATGTCACATCATTATCATAATAGTTTTTTCTTCTGGTATTTTGTGGAGAATTTAAAAATATAATCCATGAAAGATATGTAGCACAGTATTGTGAGGAGACTTATGATGGAATAAACACTAGTTAAGTTTTATTATTTTAACTACAGTTTATAAGCATTAGTTAAGTTTTATTATTTTAACTACAGGCTATGATAAAGAATTAGTTATAAATTTGACTTGAGAAAGGTCTTAATAGTGTTGTATAAGTGTAATATACACAGTACATTTTACTAGTCATCACTTGTATTCATGATTTTTTAAAAAAATCAATTCCTGCCATTTTCTAGGAAGTAATTTAGTGGTATGTTTTTTGGATTCAAAAGTGAAAATAGTACCATATCCTTTGTATATTATCTTGTTAACCACAGTCTCCAGGAACTAACAAACTTTTTTAAACAAAATTCAAAATCCTTATGGGATTGTGTAAGGAGATGAACATTGAAAAGCACTGAGAATAATCAACTTTATAAAAGTCTAGTATTCCATAATCAATATTTGGAAATACTGTCATTTTCATATCAAGTTGATAAAAATCTTCAGTAGATTTTACCTATGTACTTTTATAAGAACCATTAGAAATTTATACAGTTTATTTGTGCACGGCCATGCAACAATGTCAAAATTAAGGTTGTGACTAAAATTAATTTCTATGAAATGACTGAATATGTCACTTGCTATTTAGAGCTTGCATTTAATAACTAATTCGGAATTAGAAAATTAAATAACAGTTTTGACTCAAGTAATGGTGATTTGTTTAAATATTTGCAGATTACCAATCCAAGTAACAGACGCTATGAAGTTCCTCATCAGTTTGTGCAAGAATTTACGGGACCCGCATCTACTGATACATTGTATAATGTGCAGGTTACGGAAAGGCCATTTGGCATCAAAGTTATTAGACGAAGCAATAATCGAGTTTTGTAAGTACTTTTCTGTCGTTACACTTACATAGGTTTACATATCTACTCAGTTTTACTCTGCGTTATAAATGCATTGGAGAGGAATTAGTGATTTTCTATACTACAGATGTTTTTAAGACAAATGCTGTTGCAACTCAAGAAATGTTTAATTAGCAATTGTACAGATTGCATCTCTGCAGTTATTTTATTCAATATGTTTTAATACTTTTGGAACTGACTTTATATTAAATCGTAAAGTATTAAATGCTAAGTGAAATATGCCAGGCACAGCAGGACAAATATTGAAAGATCTCTTTCATGGAATCTAAAAAAGTGAAATTATAGTAAGGTTTAGAATCAATTCTCTTAGCAATTTTGAAATATACGCTAATTTTTTAAAAGAGATTTTTGCTGTAGGGCATGTGTGGTTTCCAGAGAGAGAAAGAGAGAGAAAGCAAGAACAGGCTATGATAAAGAATTAGTTATAAATTTGACTTGAGAAAGGTCTTAATAGTGTTGTATAAGTGTAATATACACAGTACATTTTACTAGTCATCACTTGTATTCATGATTTTTTAAAAAAATCAATTCCTGCCATTTTCTAGGAAGTAATTTAGTGGTATGTTTTTTGGATTCAAAAGTGAAAATAGTACCATATCCTTTGTATATTATCTTGTTAACCACAGTCTCCAGGAACTAACAAACTTTTTTAAACAAAATTCAAAATCCTTATGGGATTGTGTAAGGAGATGAACATTGAAAAGCACTGAGAATAATCAACTTTATAAAAGTCTAGTATTCCATAATCAATATTTGGAAATACTGTCATTTTCATATCAAGTTGATAAAAATCTTCAGTAGATTTTACCTATGTACTTTTATAAGAACCATTAGAAATTTATACAGTTTATTTGTGCACGGCCATGCAACAATGTCAAAATTAAGGTTGTGACTAAAATTAATTTCTATGAAATGACTGAATATGTCACTTGCTATTTAGAGCTTGCATTTAATAACTAATTCGGAATTAGAAAATTAAATAACAGTTTTGACTCAAGTAATGGTGATTTGTTTAAATATTTGCAGATTACCAATCCAAGTAACAGACGCTATGAAGTTCCTCATCAGTTTGTGCAAGAATTTACGGGACCCGCATCTACTGATACATTGTATAATGTGCAGGTTACGGAAAGGCCATTTGGCATCAAAGTTATTAGACGAAGCAATAATCGAGTTTTGTAAGTACTTTTCTGTCGTTACACTTACATAGGTTTACATATCTACTCAGTTTTACTCTGCGTTATAAATGCATTGGAGAGGAATTAGTGATTTTCTATACTACAGATGTTTTTAAGACAAATGCTGTTGCAACTCAAGAAATGTTTAATTAGCAATTGTACAGATTGCATCTCTGCAGTTATTTTATTCAATATGTTTTAATACTTTTGGAACTGACTTTATATTAAATCGTAAAGTATTAAATGCTACGTGAAATATGCCAGGCACAGCAGGACAAATATTGAAAGATCTCTTTCATGGAATCTAAAAAAGTGAAATTATAGTAAGGTTTAGAATCAATTCTCTTAGCAATTTTGAAATATACGCTAATTTTTTAAAAGAGATTTTTGCTGTAGGGCATGTGTGGTTTCCAGAGAGAGAAAGAGAGAGAAAGCAAGACAGAAAAGAGAGAAGTCGCCCCTCCCCCCCAGGAGGGGATGGCTATACAGCATTCCCTTCTACTCTATTCTCCTCTGGGGATTTTGGTCATGCATGCACATGAGCCTGGCATGGGATTCTTAAGTCTACAGGTTCGGGACTTGAACTGCAGTTGACTATGTAGGAGTCCAGTGACCTAAGCATTATGCAATCTGCTGGTCCCTAATGCTAAACTATTAACTACAACTATACAACAGATCTCCAAAATTAATTCCTCCTGTCTATCCCATCATCCAACTTTTTCCCATTTGTCTCTACTCTCAGTGTGGGTAACCCACAGTCTAGTCTCTATGAATTTGACTATTTTTAGAAAAAAATATTTTCGATCTTAATTTTAGAATAAGTACTTAGATACACGGAAGCCAATTTATTGTAATATTGTGTCTTAATACTCAGTCCTGGAAGAAAGCAGAATTGGGTTTTCAACTTGGCTCAACTAAGTCCCAGTTTGTGACCTTTGAAAGCATGAGTTAACATTCCCAGTTTATGTGTCATCTGTGAAGTGGGATTCATAGCAGTAATTATGCTGCAGTTAAGTTTTTGATGAAGATTAAGGGCAAAAATTCTTGCAAAAAATATTGATGATGACGAAGCAATCATGTTGATGGGCTAAACAAGATCTGATTGTGGGCAATTTGCATTCATAGGAAGTGACCACAAAGATTGTTATCTTTAAAATAAAATATTCTGGATGATAGTAACATACCCCATATTTGATAGAACATTTTGTGCATGTTTTTAGATAATTTCTTTCTTTCTTTCTTTTTTTTTTTCAGATTTGACACCAGTGTTGGTCCCCTGGTATACTCTAACCAGTATTTACAGATCTCAGCCAAACTTTCCAATGAATACATTTATGGTATTGGGGAACATATTCATAAGAGATTTCGTCATGACTTAAATTGGAAAACATGGCCAATCTTTACTCGGGATCAACTTCCTGGTGATGTAAGAGCTATTTTTCTTGTTTTAAGTGAAAATAATAATATTTTGGAGTTGATGATAATTTTAGCATACTTGATAACATCATTTATTTGAAATGATCAATTTAGCTCTATAAATATCAATGATACTGATAACCAGAAGCCTGTTCATCTGAAGTGTGAGAATTATTAGCTAAGTAACTCAATGACTAACAGATTTTAGAATGTTTGAACAGATAGTTCTAGATCATTACTGTTTTCTTTTGACTTTCATGTTAATATTTGATCATCCCCTTCAGTCACCCTTATACTTAAACCCATCTATGGCTCTCCATCTCAGTAGAACAATTTCAAACACTTGTCATTGTCTACATGTCTTTATAGTTTATAAACATATGCAAATATTTGCTTCTTATTGGCTCATGATGTTTGTGAGTTTTAAAAATGCCGGTGATAAATATTTCACTCCCCAAAATGAGTATTATTTAAAGCAACTCTTTCATTACAAAACTGCTTATAAATTCCACTAATTTGGGTTCCAGCATACTGTCGATAATAAACACCAGGATAAGAACCTCATATATATTTTCCCTATATTCCTTTCTTTCAAAATCCATGTCTAATTAATGAGAAAGTCCTTTTCCTTTCACCTTATTTTCCTTTCACCTTATTGATGTCTTTCTAGTTTCTGTCCATCATTTCAACTCATTACCCAAAACAAACACACTGCAAAAGTACTGTGATTATAGCCAACATCTTGAAATTTCCTCCAGTATTAGGGCATTAATGGGGCATGATATGTAAACAGGCCATTACTTTATTATGAATAGTTGTTAATACTCATTTAATTATATGAAAACATAAGGAAAGTTAAGTAATCTATAAACGGTATTATCTGTACATTATTTATGTATTTATATATTAATATAATAGTAAGTTTCTGATGCTATAATATTTCATATGGTGCATATAGTAAAAAAATTAGTATGAAAATATGGAATGTAATTATAGAAAATAAACCTGTAAGGGTTATATTACATATATAATAATTTTATTTGTAATATACTTGAAAATTGTATTTAAACATTCTTACCTTATAGAATAATAATAATTTATATGGCCATCACACGTTCTTCATGTGCATTGAAGATGTTTCTGGGAGGTCATTTGGTGTTTTCTTGATGAATAGCAATGCAATGGGTAAGACTCATTTATGTAATAATATGTGTACCTTAAAATAGATTTGACTTGACAGGTTTTCACTGCTCTAATTATTCTATTTATACATATTACATGTCAAATTCCACTGTTAATGATTTTATCTTGTAAATTCATTAACATAGGTTTTGTTTGAATTTTTAATTTTTTTTTTTTTCTAGAGGGTATATATGTTTGCAGGGAGACAGAAAGGGAGAGGAGAAAGCTTCCCTCATATCACGGTCATGCTGCCATCCCTCCTCCTCCATTACTTTTTTCTTTGGGGATTTTGGGCATGCAGGGACATATGGCTGGTGTGTTTCTCAAGTTGTTGGGTCCAGGACTCAAATTCCACATCAGCCATATGAGATCTGGCTGCCTTAAGCACCAGCCTTGGAGCTTTTTTTTTCTTTTCTTTTTCTTTTTTTAAAAATTATTTGCTTAGTTTTATTTATTATTATTATTTTTTAAATTTCCTACAGGACACATGAACTCACCAGTAAGAAACAGAGATAGAGAGAAAGCAAGCTGCCAGGTCCAGGACAGGTCCAGGACTCAAACTGCAGTCCATCATGTGGGCATCCCGGTCCTTTACTACCATGTCACCTGCTGGCTCCCTAAGATAGGTTTTGAAATTAGTGACACAATGGATTTTTGTATAGCATTGTTTCTGTTTTGGGGACAATTCGCTATGCTGTGACATTTAGGCACTTTCTTTTCCCGTCAGAGCAGCATTGAGATAGATCCATGCAAGTTGATGCCTATTCCTACAACCTCATTTGTCAGGAGACCTTAACATGCCATACAAATAAGAGAGATAAAGGGTTCTGTGGGTATGGAAAGAAGGAGAAGTAACTTTTTAGCATATTATCATTTAAATTATGATTTTTGAAATCAGTTCATATTTTACTGTATTCACCTTCTATTCCTTTGTTATTTGCATTTAATCACCATACACCTTTACAGTGTACAACATGGCTTTTCCCAGCACAAATACAGTGAATATTAGAAAAGACATTACCGTATACCTTATCATCAGTGAACAACTTTTCATGTTTGTGTCAATTAAACATATTGGGTTTTCTCCCTGTCCCCCTCCCTCCCTCCTCCTATTACCCATCCTAGTATTACCCCTACCCTTACTATCTCTAGCATCTACAGTGGCCATCTCTGCTACTAGAACTCCCAGTCTTTCTATTTCTGCTAATAATGATTTTAATGTCATGAGAGCAATGTTGACTTAATAGCTGAGCCAGTGACAATAAAAATTGATAAAAATTAATAATAGTCCTGCAGGAGTGTTATATTACATAGCTATCCAAAACCTCTTTTTACCTCTTTGAAATGAATATATTGTAAGATGATCTTTCAGAAAATCTTCAATTAAAGTGACAAATTGAAATGTAATTTTAGAAGAAAAATTTTTTTCTTGTCAGAGAAGTAATCATTTACCTCAGACTATGCAGTTTTCAAGGGAGCTTTTGCCAACATCTATAAACAGAAATACTGGGCATATGCTATCAAAAACCTCATACACAGGGGCATTCTACTTTTTCCCTGTTATTCCTATGCTCACTCTCTCATTTTTTTTTCTTACTTAAAAATAGCATAAAATAATTTGGCTAACATAAAGTTTTTTAAATGGAATGTGCAACTATATTTTACTACTATGTACCTTATAACCATTTACATATGTGTTTCCAATGTTCGCTTTGCAGAAATCTTCATCCAGCCTACTCCAATAGTAACGTACAGAGTTACTGGTGGCATTCTGGACTTCTACATATTTCTGGGAGATACTCCAGAACAGGTCGTTCAACAGTATCAACAGGTGTGTTGCAGGTCTATATTTCATAACATTTTTCCTAACATACATTTGTCTCATTTACCATGTCCTCATATTTTGATGATTTTATATATAAAGTTCATAAATGTATAAGCATATATTTATATATCTTCTTGGATAAATGTATTTTAAAATAGAACAAATGAGTAGTTTGAAAAAATGTCACACATGTAGATTTCAGAGATCGCATATGAGGGGGTGGGTAAACTGGGATAGGAGGGAGGGAATTAGGGAAAACAAACAGACAAAACATTTACCAGACACAAAAATGAAAAGCTGTCTGTTGATGATAATGCATCTAATAATATCTTTGACTTGACTCACATGCACTGTATTTATGCTCAGAAAAACCATGTTGTATACTGTAAAGGTGTACAGTGATTGAATGTAAATTTTAAAAATGTAGAAAAAACACATAGTTTTTAAGATACAAGTCACTGATTTAAATTTCTTTTCCCCCTATACGATGTGCCTAGGACGTGTAAGCATTTCTATATTTCTGATTCTGAAGTAGTTTCTTACTTCTAGGCAGCTGAGTTCAGCTGGATTTCTCTGAGATGTCATACATTAAATCTTTACTTAGTCACGACCTCCTTTTGTACAATAAAGGAAACAGAATTATCTGCAAAACTGAGGATAGGCAAGGAATGTGCAAGTCATGCATTCTTTGGATCAAAATCCTGAAGTTGACTGAATTATGAGGGAGGCCAGTAAAATTTAATGTAAATGCGTAGTAACTAAACTTCAGGAAAATTGGCCCCATCCTCAGGCCTAGAGAAGGCCAGGTTTGAAGCCTAGCCTGAAGTCTTAGACTAAGCTTAAGCTATTAAGTGAGCAACTTTCACTTTCTTATTAAATAACTTCTTAGTGAACCTGATCTCTTCATGAACTTACGGAGGTGAGGAATCTGGGACTTAAATGAACATGATTCTCAAAGTTCCTCCTGTGTAATGACTCTCATGTAACTGCTGCATGTGTGAGTCCTGATGTCATCCTGGAAATGAAGTTATTTTATTGGTATAAAGTTCAAAAACTGTTCCTATCTTTTTTGAAAAAAATCTTATTTTCTGGATATTCCTTTTGAAATGTAAGTCTCATTTCTAAAAGTTAGTTCTAAAATGATTAACATATAAATAAAAATATAATATAAATATATATTATAAAATATGCATATATATGTGTATATGTGTGTGTGTGTGTATTTAGTTAGTATCCAAAAATCTGAAATGAGGGTAGATAGCGTTTTAAATCATTTACAAGCCTAGCAAGTCTAACAATTAGCAAATTTCCATTCATAAGGGTGAATTTCAGAATAGATGCACACAAAACTTATGGTCTATGTAATATAAAATTGTTATTACATTTCTGGCCTGGCCTGTATATAGATTTTGTGAATGGTTATCACACAAGCAAAACAGAGGTATGATATGTTTTAAGACAATTTAGCATTTGATTTGTCAGACATTAGTTGTATATTACGTGCTATGTAAGCCTGTGTTCAGCACCAGTTGAGTTTGAGTCATGCTTTACTTCTCAGGAAGTAGAGGTATAGAAATTGCTTACTTTTTAACCTCATTTTTTCTTACACAATTACTTTTTTTCTTTTTTGCTGAACAGAGATTGTGAGGTTATCCTTATTTCTATATTTCTATTTGTTTATTCTCTTCTTTAACTTTCCATGATGGTCAAAATATACCTTCTCAAATGCTCTTTTCTTGATTGGTGCATTTTCTAACTTTTCAACATAAACAAGGGATGAGGAACAACGCATACTTGCTAAGTGTTCCCTAACAGTACTATAATGGAATAGCTAGGAAATATTTTAGAATGTAGGTAACACTAAATCTTTAAAGTATGTAATTAAACTTAATATAAGAGATAAAATAAGCAGATTAATATTAGTTACTAATATTAAATGTATTTCTCTTTGTTGAAACTAATTAATTTCTATGTACTTCAAGCTCATTGGACTGCCTGCAATGCCAGCATATTGGAGTCTTGGATTCCAGCTGAGTCGCTGGAATTATAATTCACTAGAAGTAGTGAGAGAAGTGGTAAGAAGAAACCGAGAAGCTGGCATACCATTTGTAAGTCGAACGAAGGGTTTATGGGAAAGTACATCAAGTTAAATATTGTCACGATAGTAAATTGTTAGGAATAATAGTAGGAAATTGTTAGGAATATCTACTGTGTAAACAATATATGTATATATGATTACAAAGCTGCAGTTTAATTGTAAAATATACTTCGTATCCATACATAATACCCATTCTGTCTAAAATTTATGAGTATATACTCTTAAAGAACTAACTTGGAGTTATACTAGAACATAATGTATGCTTTAACTGTGAACAAAATCAAATTCAGTTGTATAAATAGACTTTATATTTTTAATTTTTTTTTTGGAGAGGGTTTTGTTTTGTTTTGTTTTGTTTTTTTCTTTAGGGTGTATGTGCTCGCCAGAAAGACAGAGAGAGACAGAGAGATAGAAAATGAGAAATCACCCCCCAAGGAGGATGGCCACACTGCAGTCCTTTCTCCTCCATTTTCCTCTCGGGATCTTGGGCATGCACGCACATGTGCCTGGAGTGATTTTAAGCCACCTGGTCTAGGACTCAAATTGTGGTTGGCAACATGGGAGTCCAGTGACATAGCCATTATGCCAACTGCTGGTCCCAAAATAGACCTTATTTTTAGAATCCATATAGTTCAAATTAAATTTTTGAAATTTGCTTTGTTTTGTTTAAAAAGTTTTTGTTGGGACTGGCAGATGATGTAATGATTATGTTACTGGATTCCTACATAGTTGACCATGGTTCAAGTCCCAGACCTGGTGGCTTGAACATTATGCTGGGCACGTGTGTGTGTGTGTGTGTGTGTGTGCCCAAGATCCTGGGAGGAGAACGGAGGAGAAGGGATTGCAGTGTGTCAAACCTCCGGAGGGGGGTGATTTCACACTTTCTCTCACTGTCTCTGTCTCTTGCCCCCCAGAGCATACATACCCTAAGGCAAAAACCTCTTTAAAAAGTTTATGAAAAAAAGTTTTTGTTTTCTATATGATGAAATATACACACACATAAACTATGCATATAGATTCATCATCACTGAAAATAATGTGAATAGTCATTTATTGCTTTTATACTTAGTTGGAAAAACTAGCTTTATAAACAAAATTATTGGTTATTTTATGAGATAAATATATACATCAAATTGCTTTTTAATCATCATGCTTATAATTCGAGTTTGTCAGACTTACATGTTGAGGTGACTCCAGAGTTCCTTCTGTACCATTTATTGACATGCACTCTGCTTATTTTCAGGATACACAGGTCACTGATATTGACTACATGGAGGACAAGAAAGACTTCACTTACGACGCAGTTCAATTTAATGGTCTCCCTGAATTTGTTCAGGATTTGCATGACCATGGGCAGAAATATGTCATCATCTTGGTAATGATTGTTCACCTATGGACACACTTCTAGTGTTCAGACATTTGTAAGTTAATAGATTTTCTACAGTTTCTTCTTTCTATTATTAGGACCCTGCAATTTCCATAGGAAGACGCGCCAATGGAGCAGCATATGAAACCTATGAGAGGGGAAACAGACAGCACGTTTGGGTCAATGAGTCAGATGGCAGGACACCAATTGTTGGAGAGGTAAGTTATATCCATTAAAGTTGTGTTGTTCAGATCTCCTATTCATCAACAGCAAAATTACTATAACTCTGTGTGAGTGTTTATATATATATATGTCCTCAAATATACTGGATTTCATATGTCAATTATGGGGAGAATTTTTGTTAAAATTTTGCTATAGGGTGTATTTGCTCAATGTAGAGAGACAGAGAGAGAAAGAGAATGGAAGGACGACCAGACTGCAATCCCTTGTCTTCCATTTCTTCTTTCAGGATTTTGGATACACACACTCACACACACACACACACACACACACACACACACACACACCATGGAGTGATTTTCAACACCTGGGGCTAGGGCCAGGACTTGAACCGTGCAGTTGGCCATGTGGGATCCAGCCACCTTCACCACCACGCCACTGACTGGCCCCATGGGAAGAAATTATAAAAGAAGGAACTAATCTAAAAATATCTAAGACAATTCTTATAAGAAGTCACACAAAGAGTGACAGACACTTACAACTTTAAATGTTACTTGAGAAGTGTATGCAGAAATGTGATATAAATTAACGGCAAATATAAATTGAGGGCTTATATACTATCCACTAGTTTTATGATTACATTTAATCATTACCAAGAAATAATGACATGGTTATGATTAAAGTTTTTACTTTACAGATGGAAAAAAATAACCTTAAATAAGAGAGATAACTTTTATCACATAAGTAATCAGGAAGAGAATGAGGAAATTGTCTAGATCTCAAATGCATGTTTTATTTTATTTATTATGTCAGAGGACATATGCATATGCATGGGAGAGTGGGGGCAAGAGAGAAAGGGAGAGAGAGCGAGCAAGCACATCCCTTTCCCTCCATGTGTGTACATACCTGGCTTTTTTGTAAGCTGCTGGACTGGGACTCCACAAGGATCTTGGTTGTCCTAATGAAAGCCAGCTTCTTAGACACAGCACTTACCACTGTGCTGTGAGGCAGCCCTCTAATGCCTAACTAGCCAGATCTGATTTTTTTTTTTTTTTTGGAGAGATTTTCACTGTAGGGCACGTGCGCTCGCCAGCCAGACAGAGAGAGACATAGAGACAGAAAGCAAGAAATCACCCCCCAGGGGGATGGTCACGCCGCAATCCCTTCTCCTCCATTCTCCTCTCGGGATCTTGGGCACGCACGCACACGCGCCCGGTGTGAGTTTTAAGCCACCGGGTCCGGGACGCGAACCGCGTTCGACTACGTGGGAGTCCATTGACATAGCCATTACGCTAACTGCTGGTTCCCGCCAGATCTCCTTTTTGAAGCAACTTTGTAAGACCTATCAAAAACTGTTGTAGTGTCTAGACACACTGAGTTGGGAACTCCACTTCCGTAATTTAATAAAAATATAAAAAAAGAGAAATATTATTTTATGAAAACATGTCTATTATAGTGTTAGTTACAACAATGAAGAATATCCTATCCATCACATTTTATTACATTTATCATACATGCAAATTTTGGTGAAAGTCTTCAATTAATTATGTGCTCCATAAGACCCATAAGTTACCATACCCATATATCTATTACTATTTCACATCTCATTAATAATACATTCCATTGGAGCCATCAAATGGCAGAGTGGTTAAGTCACTGGACTCCCTTGTGGCCAATCACAGTTCCAGTCCTGGAGCCGGTGCTAGAATCTAACACCGGTGCATGTGTGTGTGTGCGTGTGTGTGTGTGTGTGTGGCCAAAATCCTGAGAGGAAACGAAGCAAGGACTGAGGCTTAGCCATTGCCCTCTGGGTGATGATTTTTGTCTTTCTGTTCTCTTTGTCTCTCTCTCTCTCTCTGGCAACTGCACCTGCCCTATAGCAAAAATCTCTCTCTCAAAAAAAGAAATCTACATATATATGTACTTTTTTAAGACCTGCTTTGTCAGATACAGACATATCAGACAGTTCATATTGATTTATTTGGATATAAAACAATATAATTTAGCTTAATTTTTTGATGCTAAATTCTTTTTGCTTATTGTTATTGTGAGTAATAAGTAAGTAATATAAAATAATTCAAAGAAGCATAAATAATAAAAAACATGATATGGTATTTATAGTGTTCAATAGCTTGGACCTGGGTATGAGATTGCATGGGTTTACATCCCCGTTGTACTGGGTTAATAATTAGTAGTGTGACTTTGAAGCCTTATTTAACTTTCTCAGTGTATCCTTTCTTTCCTCTGCAAGATGGGTTTAATTATAGACCTAAGCCATCTGCAAAGTGGTGATAAAAATTACCTTTAAATTTCATTTAAAATGAATCATTATTTAAATACTTAGGCTCACGTCCATTAATATAGTATCATATTTGTACTTGTTTAAAAAAGTGAATATAAAATAGTTTTCTTTCTTGGAAACAAATGCCTAATATGTTGACTTTTATCAGATAAAGAATATATCATTTTTATAATGAATCAACCCAATCTGAAAGGATGCTCAGAAATAAATACAGTTGCAATCACATAGGAGGCTTATCACCTGGTCTCATATTTTTCTTTCTTAAAGATTTAATGATCTATCTTTTTCTTTAACCGCTTTCCTTTAAATGCATCTAAAATTAAGCTTGAGATGATTATGAATGTAGATGGTACATGACTAACATGTATGTAAAACACATGATTATCCTTTTAATTATTTTAGTTTTTTTATTATGCTCAACTGGATCCATGTGTTAATCGGTTCAGGTATTTATGTATTCGCCTTGTATTTATGTGTATTTATCTCCATGTCTGTCCTAGGTATGGCCAGGATTAACAGTATATCCAGACTTCACTAGTCCAAGCTGCATAGAGTGGTGGGCAAATGAATGCAGTCTTTTCCATCAGCAAGTACAATACGATGGACTTTGGATTGTAAGTAGTTATTTTTTATTTAAATGTTTTTCTTAAGATAAGGTTACAGCATGTCATGATCCTCTTGCCTCCACCTCCTGAGTATCTGGAGCTATAGAGATGTGTGGGCATATTATGTCTGGCTCTTTTTTTTTTTTTTTTTTTTGGAGAGGTTTTCGCTATAGGGTGCGTGCGCTCGCCAGACAGACAGAGAGAGACATAGAGACAGAAAGCGAGAAATCGCCCCCCAAGGGGGATGGTCACGCCGCAATCCCTTCTCCTCCATTCTCCTCTCGGGATCTTGGGCACGCACGCATACGTGCCCGGCGTGAGATTTAAGCCACTGGGTCCGAGACGCAAACCGCGGTCGACTACGTGGGAGTCCAGCGACATAGCCATTAGGCTAACTGCTGGTTCCCTGTCTGGCTCTTTTTAAAGCAGGGTCTTGCTATGTAGCTTAGGAGAGCCTAAAGCCTAGGATTTTCCACCTCAGTCTCCCCTCGTCACTGGGATAACAGGCACCTGCTCGAATACACCTAGAACCCGGGTGTCCCATGTGGTCCCTGCCTGTGGAACACAGCATCTTAGCCGCACATGCCACTGTGGCTAGTCCAGACGAGTAGTTATGTTAAATCAGTGATTTGGGTTAATGAACTTCTAGTGATTAATCTGTAAAAAATATTACGTTAAAAATATTTTTCAAATGGATGCAGCACAAAATTAAAAGACATATGCTAGGTAAAATGATGCTGGATGATAATCAAGGCCTCAGTGCCACTGGTTAGGGTAACTATAGCCACATCTGGGAAGTGAAAATACCTCACGATCCCAGGATTTCATATTTAAGGAGAAACTTCTGATAAGCCAAACACAGTAAAAACAGCAAAAGTATCACCACTTTATGAACTTTTGGAAGGAGATACATTTTGAATATTCTAGGGAATTTCAAAAATACTCTAGTATTTTCTTGGGCTGTTTAGGTCTGTACATCTCCACGTACCTGAGTGTTCATCTTCAGCCATCCATTAATTTAATTGTCCATTTTTATTTATTCAATCAATTTTTTAGTTAACAAGTTTTTTTTATCACCCATATATTAGTTATGTTATGAAGAATACAAAGGTAGAAAAATGTTTTCTGCCGAAATCATGGAATTGAGAAAAGGGTTAACACAATCTTCAGGATTCCTATGGTAGTAGCAATAGAAAATACATGGGGATACTTTAAATATTCAATATTTTACACAAAATCAATGAGATCACACTGCAAATACATCGCTGCTGGTAGAAATAACCAAAATGTTGCACTCTGATCTTGAGATACAGTTTTCATTCTAGATCTTAAGTTACTTAATCTAAATTTTAAGTATTTAATCCTTTTTTGCTAGGTTAGTAAATAATTTTATTCATTAGTGTCCCTTTCATAGTTCACAGAATGTAAAAGAAAAAAAAAGAAATATTCTAGGTAATTTCAAAAATACTTAATTAGAGACCAGCAGTTGGTGTAATGGTTATGTCACTGGACTCCCACGCAGCGCAGTCGACCGCGGTTCGCATCCCGGACCCAGTGGCTTAAACTCACGCAGGGCGCTTGTGCGTGCGTGCCCAAGATCCTGAGAGGAGAATGGAGGAGAAGGAGTTACAGAGTGGTCATGCCCCTGGGATGGTGATTTCTCGCTTTCTTTCTCTCTCTTTCTTTCTGGTGAGCGGTCGACTATGTGTCTTATTTATATGTATAACTAAAATTATATAAATGAAATTTTGGTTGCTTAAAATCTCTCAACCACATCTGAGATGTAATTTCAGGATGTATAAGGGTAATTTGGGATGTAAAAAGGTACTTCCAGTTTATGGAAAAATGGAATTACAATACAATTTCACTTTGTGTGAAAGATTTTGAAATTCATTCACAGTTTTTTATAATATACATCTTCCCTAACTTTTTGAAAATTCTCTCATACATTCTGTTTGCATTTAGATTCTGAGTTGATCTTCTAGGAGTGAAAGAATATCATAATTGCCTTAGATAAAACATATTCAAAACTACTGCTTATATATATTCTAGAAAGTTTCTGCATTTATGATGTGTAATTATTTAACATCTACTATCCTTTGTTTCCTATCCGTACAGGACATGAATGAGGTTTCCAGCTTTATTCAAGGTTCAAGGGAAGGATGCAGCGCCAACAACTGGAATTATCCACCTTTTACTCCCGGTAAATTTAATTTGACTATGTAATTATCAGTAGTTGAGAGCCATTTTCTTGTTGACTGGTAAATCCATAGCATATATTTCTAAATCACAGTCTTTGGTGTGATTTAGAATTTTGAAACCATGACCAACAATTTTTAAATAGTTTTTCTTGGACCAGCAGTTTGTGTAATGGCTATGTCGCTGGACTCCCACGTAGTCCCAGACCCGGTGGCTTAAACTCACGCAGTGTGCTTGTGCATGCGTGCCCAAGATCCCAAGAGAAGAATGGAGTAGAAGGGATTGAGGAGTAGCCATCTCCCCTGGGGGGTGATTTCTCACTTTCTGACTTCTCAGGAAGATTTCTCACTTTCTTTCTCTCTGTCTCTCTCTGTCTTTCTGGTGAGCGCACGTGCCCTATAGCAAAATCTCTCCAAATTAAAAGAAAAAAAATTGTTTTTCCTTTCAGCCAAAGTGCTTCCAGTCTATAATTAAATTTAACTAAACTATTCTATTATAAAACTTTAAAGCACATCTAGAGGGAGATGATGTACAATATATGTATTTTGATAAATCCTTTGCAAGTAGTATTTTTCTGAATTCATTATTATTGAGGTTAGAAACAGAATACTTCTTAATGTAAATATAATTATAAAAGCTATTCTAACTTCAACAGAAGTGAAGTATGGGGACCTAATGGGAACTTAATTTAATAAATAGTCCTCTTTCATTATATTTGGTCTAAGTATGGTGTTACTTAGTAAATCACAGGAAAGTATCTAAGATTGAAAACAGCAAAATATCTCATAAAA